GTTCTTCTAAGATACACAGCACTGGATAACTAAACATCAATTTCATTTAATCCTTTTAGCATAATTCATTCTCCAGAAGTTTGACCTGTCAGTCTTTTATTTAGCCCGTCATCTTATATTTTTTCTTCCACTAACTTGATATGCCGCTCGAATGTTGTCATAGCGCAATCCTATAAATGTAATTTAACCTTGCAGTCATGTGGATCTGATTCATCGTTTCGATCGTGATAATCCAATATGCCCTAGCATCCTCTGGATGTGATCCAATATTGCGATCGTGTGTATCCAATCTACCCTTGCATCCTGTGGATCATATTCCGCCTTGCGATCGTGTGTGTCCGATCTAACGCTTGGGTTCCTGTAAAGCTGAGCTAGCTTAACGATCGTGTATATACAATCTATCCTCTTCTCTCTTCATTTGCCCAGTCTTCACAATATTCTTCTTCAAAGTTGCTTGAAGGGTTTGCGGTGTCTAGCTTTCGCCAAAGAACTTTCGTCCAGCAAATAATTTTTTGCAGCATGATCCGCGGTGGTACCCGAGGGACCTTAGGAGGAATCGAGGTTTATCTTCCAGATCGTTAAGTAGATCTTCCTCTTTAACTTTCTCGTCATCGAAGCCCCTCCCACAATCTTAATATCCCGGATATCCTATAACTTCGCGCGTCTGTGACGATCCCTCATCCTCTGACGCTTTTATTCCAGGTTCCGTCTTTATCTTCACATCTTCACTCAGTTACTTATGGTGATAATTTCGAGTCACCAAAAGATTTAGGCACGCGCACCGTTGTAGTGGAGCGGGGTTAACGCAATTGCTATTTTAATCCCGACTGTTTATGGTCAACGAGACAACCGACTATCGGAGGAATAACTCCGCTTCCGTAAAATTGGCCTTCCCCACATTGTGTACCCGTCGGAAGGGCGGGATGCACTCTTCTCAGTGGACTCTTGTCGATGCTTGACCTGACCGTGTTTGGGACGAGGAGATCGTGTGGAAAACTTTACGGGACCACAGGCTACGTGTAAGCACTCGATATGAGCTACCTGGATATCAACGAGATCGCCTTGTCCAATACGTAGATCTTGATCTGCTTGACCTTCAGATCACTTTAGACGGCCGCAATATTGGTCACCCTAGCTTTATTGCTGAGCCCTATCGCAGTCATCTTTGTTTCGTTGAGAGGCCAAATACCCATCTCGAAAGAGATGACGCGTGTCTTTTAGATCAAATTGAACTTTATTTGAATGTAGCCAACCACATTACTAAACATACGACCTAGCTTATCTATACAAAATGCTCACGTTAAGTCTCGTCCAAAAAATTACTCTGCCTCTGGTACATCGTAGGCTCCTTGATCTATCATCCACCCCTGTCCCGGATCGGATCTTCTTTCAGATCGGATCTCTTCTTATATCGGAACCCTATTGGATCGGACCCCCCTTGGATCAAAGTTTCTCTTAGACCGGATCCCTCTTGATCGGATCCACTCTCCGATCAGATCTCCCTCTCCGATCAGATCCCTCTCTCGGCTCGGATCCGATTGTCGTAATCCACCCATCCAGTCTTCTTATCTAAGCCCGGTACCAGGGTAGCCCTTCTTCAGCACATTCTTTACACCATTATTCGATCAAATTCTCAGCCGAAACGACCCAACTTACGTGAAGACGTAAATCTAACATAAAGCGGGCCTTCTTTTAATTAAGGTGAGATTCTTCCGGTTAAAATTTTGATACAATGCTTAAACTTAATGCAATACAAACACAATTTTAAAGATCTGTTAGCCTATCCACTGCGCACGTTTATCGTTGATAAAAGGCTTCGTTCCTAATATCATGGCCCATACCAATTAATTAGCAAAAGTCACTATGTATCATCTTTAAGTAATATTTAAGTATACGAACCTCTCGAGTAATATATGCACTGGCCCTTGCCAATGCTAGGGTCATGTAACAGGCTCACTATGTCACAGTAACATTCTAGTTGTGTGATATTGAAACGAGAGGCAGATGATTATCTCATTGGAGCGAAGGTAAGAAATGTCGTAAGAAAATATATCGAATTAGAAATAAACATACTTATCAAAACAAGGTGAATATCGATCGCACAACGACCTTGGACAGTAAGATTATGTAGCACCAAATATGACAAGAAAGCGCCACCTAAGTACGAACGCCGAGGTAATAAAGTTCGAACACGAAAGCACTAATGAGGCACTATGGTCGAAGGGCCGCAAAAAGCGCATTACAACGCGACGTAAGCGACGATGGATGGCCACACGATTATCAGCGCTGCATGGGGTATATTGTAATGTCCCGACCATCTTAGACGATTTCCACTTGTTACGTATGGAATCGTACGTCGATCTTCACATGCTAGTTACTACCAGCTCAAAAGAGCGAGAGCTATTCTCGAAGTCGATACGCACATGGCGGAGTTACACAATAGCTACACAATGCAAAGAGAATTAACATTTGTGCATCTATAAGCGAGCCGCTTGATAGTATAAAATATGGTCGCTTTGCTACAGACTGCATCGTATACTCTTGTCAGTAACAGGATCCATTTTAAGGTGCTTAATTGTCCGCAACAGACGGCAGATATAACGCATATGTGACTTATATGAGCCGTAGGGAAGGTTAAAAAAAATTAGAGCAAATTGCTGCATCGACCTCGAGGGGTCTATTATACGGTTCGTGAACTCACTTCACTGCCAGTCGCGGAGATCTAGCTCGTGCATACTACATATGTCAAAAAAAACAGCGAGATACGCTAGCTACTGCAACAGCCTTGCAAGTGAGGTTGTCCCAATGAACCTGTTAAAAGTGGAGAATCTGGTACATAGGAGGCAGCTACAGCAGCCTGAGAGATGCTGGATTTGATACCATTTCATGACAAGATGGTGTTTATGTGTTCGACTACGCGGTGACCCGCTCTGACGACGCCGTTCACAGCTACGTTTTTTCTGGAAACATCGATATTAGGGCGCTTCGCCGAAAGCGAAACCAATGAGAACAGTGACGTTTACAATAATCGCGTACGGTATTCCTGTTTATGACAGAGCATGGTCTGGTAAGTGTTACTCGCTACTCAGCCACTCATCAGCTTGGGAAGCGGGTCCAATCATTATCTCGTAGGAGGAATGTGTCAAGCGTGCTTCGACAATAGCATCGATCCGATACCACATCCTACAATGTTAAACGATACGGCGGTAACAAAGCAATTGATGCTCGACGTTCTCAACATCAAGATAAACAAGAGCGCAGCATTGGGAAGTACACCGAGCGAACAACCTTTTCATTCGAAGTTCTCGGGCTGGACGAAGCTGCTGAGTCATGGAGCAAACGCAGGATAGCGAAAGGTACAAAAGCGTTGCGTAGTATGACTGATCGCGACTCGTAAAGATAGTCATACGCATTACATCGATTACGTTGCTTTTACAAAAGCAGCGAATCGGATACCGTGCGCTTCGACAGTGTGTGATGCCGCACTCCTCTAATCACGTTACCGCTCACAATACTGCAAGTACGCAAAATCACTGACGGCATAGAGCGCGTAACACCCGCATCGCTGATATACGTCGCGAGCCAAGTGAGTATACACGCGTATACCAACTCGGTACGTGTGAGACCGTCTGGAACAGCTGACTACACAATGAGAAAATCTCATCGAGTGCGCTGAGCGTATCCACAACATTTCGCTTCGAAACAATTCGTCGCCCGTCGACTGGCTGTCTGGCTGGCTGGCTGTCTGTCCGCCCTTCCGACCCCCCCCCGTTCCTGCCATGGACTCTCTCCATTCGAGTCTGCACCACCCGACGCAGCGCGCATGGAGCGAGCCGCACCTCCACCCGTCGCAGCTCATGTACCCTCTCTTCGTGACGCTGCGCCACGAGGACAAGTCGATCCGTGGCTTGGAGCCCGAGCTGCAATGGGGACAAGGCGTCGAAGGCACGTTCCCGACGCTAGTCGCGCATTTGCGCGTCCTCGTGGCCAAAGGGCTGACGAGTGTCATGCTCTTTGGCGTCGTGGATACCAAGGACAGTCACGGCTCAATGGCCGACGACATGGCTACACCAGTGATCAAGTGCACCGCAGTTCTGCGCAAGGCGCTCCCGGAGCTGCTCGTGGCCTGCGACGTGTGCATGTGCGAGTACACGGACCACGGGCACTGCGGGATCCTGCGTGTTGTGGACGGAGAGCACGTGCTGGACAACGCGCGGACATTGGAGCGACTCTCGAACATTGCACTGGCTTACGCCAGGGCTGGCGCCCACGTCGTCTGTCCCTCGGACATGATGGACAATCGTATTGGCGCTATTCGCCAGATCTACAACGAACACGGCTTTGAGCACGTGTCGATCATGGCGTACACGTCCAAGAAAGCTTCAGTGATGTACGCGCCGTTCCGTGACGCCGTCGAGTCGACGTTTCAGGGCGACCGTAAACGGTACCAACACCCAGTGGGCAGCACAAGCCATGCGGCATTGGCCTTGGAGCGGGACGTCCAGCAAGGTGCAGATAGCGTGATCGTCAAGCCGTCGCTGTTTTACTCGGATATCGTTGCTAGCTTTGCAGCCAAGAAGACAGTGCCTGTGGTCTGCTACCTTGTTTCGGGCGAGTACAAGATGGTGAAGGACTATGGCGACTCGACCGACTCGCTTGAAAGCGTCGTGCGCGAAGCTCATGTGGGGCTACTGCGTGCAGGTGCTAGCGTCCTTATCACGTACTTTACGCCGTACATTCTGGAGCACTGCATGAAGTGGTGATTCTGCATATCTTATGCGTGTCGTGGATCGATCGTCCGGCACTATGCTGTAAATTGACGTTTACTGCTACCACATACGGTGTAAACGAAGCGGTCAGAGACGACAACGTGAGCGTCTTTTTCTCGTCCTGCGTCATGTGTGCGACGTGTGGCGACTCGAGCTTTGCTTTTTGTCCAATCAGTGCTCGCCATCCGATCTATGGCTCTCGCATAGGCGCACCCTGGAAAAGCTGGCAGCATGGAGGCGCCCGAATTAACAGACCAGATCGTGGCCACGGGCAACGCTATCCGCGAGCTCAAGGCGGCCAAAGGCGTCCGTAATGCTGACAAGATTGCCGGCCAAGTGCAAGAGCTGTTGTCGCTGAAGAAGCAGTACAAGACGCTGACAGGAAACGACTATGCGCCGCCAGCGACGCCCAGAAAAGCCGAGACGACCGCTGCCTCGGCCGTCGACGGCGGGATCAAGTCGAAGAGTCAGATGAAAAAAGAGAGGAAACTGGCCGGTCAGGCGGCCAAGAAGGCGACTGGAAGCTCTGTCAAGACCAACAAGCCGAAAAAGGCCAAGCCTTCGGAGAGTGCCAAGCCGGCTGAGAGTGCAGCGGTGCCGTCGGATGCTGATCTGCTGCGGCGGCAGATGGAGTTCCAGCACCACGTGCTGAGCTCTGGTGCAGCTGGTAGCGCTCAGGTGGTAACGCCCTGGGACGTGGAAGCCGAGGACGGCGTGGATTATGACAAGCTGGTGGAGCAATTTGGCAGTACAAAGATTCCGTCGGACATGGTGCAGAAAATGGAGCGATTGACGGGCCACAAAGCCCATCGCTACTTGCGTCGTGGCTACTTTTTCTCACATCGGGACTTGGACGTGATTCTTGAGGCCTATGAAAAGGGCGAAAAGTTCTTCTTGTACACTGGTCGTGGTCCATCCTCGGGTAGCCTGCACATGGGACACCTTATTCCGTTCACGTTTACAGCATGGCTTCAGAAGGTGTTTGACGTGCCTCTTGTGATCCAACTCACGAACGATGAGAAGTTTTTGTTTAAGGATCAAACGCTCGAGGAGAGCGAGACAATGGCCTGGGAGAACGCCAAGGACATCATCGCGTGCGGGTTTGATGTAAAGAAAACGTTTATTTTTGCCAACACGGAATATATCAAGGAGATGTACCCGCAGATTCTCAAGGTGCAAAAGTGTGTCACGTATAATCAAGTGCGCGGCATCTTTGGCTTCTCTGGATCCGACAACATTGGTAAGTCGGCATTTCCAGCCATCCAGGCCGTACCGTCTTTTTCAGAAACGTTTCCTGTGGTGCTCGGCGGGCGCAAAGCGCTGCGTTGCCTCATTCCACACGCCATTGACCAGGACCCTTACTTCCGCATGACGCGTGATGTGGCCCCACGCATCGGCTACCTCAAGCCTGCCTCTGTGCACTCCAAGTTCTTTCCTGCTTTGCAGGGTAGCACCACGAAGATGAGCGCTAGCAAGGCAAGCACCACCATTTACGTATCGGACTCACCAGACAACATTGCCAGCAAGATCAAGAAGTATGCCGTCAGGTAAGCCATCGCTCTCGTATACTCCTCCTGTGCTATGACTAACAGCGAGTGCTGACGCGTGCTATGTCTCTCTAATCTCTGTAGCGGCGGCGGCGAGACGAAGGCGGATCACGAAAAGTACGGCGCCAACTTGGAGGCAGATATTCCGTACCAATATTTATCCTTCATGCTGGAGGATGACGAGGAGCTTGAGCGTATCGGCCGCGAGTATAGCGCAGGCCGTATGATGTCAGGCGAGGTGAAACAGAAGCTGATTGACGTGATGGCTGCGTATACGCTGGACTTCCAGAAGCGCCGCGCCGCCATTACCGATGATCTGGTAGCTGAGTTCATGAGTGTGCGGCCCTTAGACTTTTAGACGCCGGACGTCGTTTACGTGCGTAGCTGTGCTGCACCTTCGTGTTTTGGAAACCAAGTGTTTTTCTCGCGTGTCTGCGTGGATAGCCAACTCGAGGGACTAACCCACTGCACCGCACAACAATACGACAATGACAGTGTTGATGGCTTCACTACATGTGTGACTAGTCTTTCGATAGGCGGATACCTATTTCTCTTCTACGGTGCAGAGCTGCATAGACTTATTCAGTGGTGCAAACACGACACGCTGATATTCCAATCCGATACGGCGGGTCAAAGCAATGGCATGTATCTAACTAAAAGAGATGAGCTTACACACTGCGAGACTTTTTGCGTGAAACGATATCTTTTCTCCACATATACGACTCTTAAGTGATCAGTGAGAAGCTCAGGATACAAGGCAGCGATTATGAGATCACCAGCGTGAGAGCATTGAAAGTCTCAACATTTTACAATTGTAACGTTGAGGCTGCTAAAGCGTGCGGTACCACACACACTGTCCAGCAGCTCGAAGCTGTGGCCGCGTCGTGATCACCAATGCGAAAAAGGTGTCGGCATGTGCTGGTCAAACAGGCGACCGTATACGACTGCTGCATGCCTGCGCTCCGTGCGTTTTGCGATGCTGAGCATGCAACAATAGTAGTGTGTATTTTATCTTTATTCCTTTGTGGCGTCTGACCAAGCAAATGCTTTCGATATAGCTATCGATACTGGAGGAGGAGTTTCACGATCGTCTACTCACACGTTAACACGAGCAAGATGTCTGAAAAATCCTAAGTCAGGATACAAGCGCTGGGGTTGGCGGCTTGTCGTGACTGATGTCCCGTGAAGTCGGGTGCCCTTGCGAGTCTTGACGCAGTATTTCAATACAGGCGAGGAGACGCGCTCCGCTCACTGCTGTGACCGCGACCGATGTTCGCGTAGAGCGATCGCCTTCAGCTGCCGCAGTCCGCTTTCCCAAAAAGCTGACGCACTCCCGACCGTGGATGAGAGCTTTCCACGAAATACCGCCGCATTGCGCTCTACGCAGAGATGCACTTGGCATATGGAGCAGAGGACGAACCAAATGCGTCGAAATTCTTCCTCCGCGGCCTGATGATCGTCCTGAAAACGATGGATTAGAAGCTCACGTAGACGGTGAGGTAGCGATGGAGCCTGACGATGGGCACAGTGTCGAAAACGGGCTGTCAGCTCGACATCTCCCGCCCCCGTCCCAGTCCAATGCCGAATGAGTAGGCTTCAGCATGCTCGCGCTGTGGGACAGTTCCAGAATAAATGTGACGCGGTCTCTTTGCATCCATGGCAGAGCTCGAGCTTTCTGCAACTATGGTCGACGGCTCGACCGGCGTGATATAGATTCGGCTGGTTGGTAGCAATACGATAACAAGTCCACACTTGCTACTCTGTGAGACTGTTCGCGCGATTCCAAACTTGAGTAGGACTTTGATGTGCTACTGCCTCGAGCCATTGGTCTATCTGCGTCAGGCCTTCGAAGCGAGTCACCCACCTCTGTAGTGCTGGACGGAGCAGCCGCCTCTGATAATGGAATGCACTCCGTTGAACCGCTGTCCATATTTGTTCATTATCGATTGTCTCCGACACACTCCAAGAGAATCGATGAAGCGACGGATGAGCATGAAAACCCAAGCCCCGTGAGGTTTTACGTCGCCAGTACGTACACGCACTCTCGGAATGACACAGTAAGGCCGGTATACATCCGTGCAAAAACCGGTGGAGTCCGTCCTCCCCCAGGGACAACGTGATTAAGGGTGCCACCGGGAGAACGTGGTCCTGGCATGTACCGATCACCAAGGTGTCATTAAGTCGAGTCCACCCATATGGTCGCCGAAAAGGCGGCGAGTGCCGTAAGGTCAGGCCTGCCCCATCCAACCCCGCCCCAATCGCAAGCGTCGGTGACGCGATTAAAATCATGGTGGCCCATCTCCGCAGTTTAGGATGCGAGTATCGCGGGGAATCGTCTCAAAGTGATGGGATCGTAAACGCAAACTCCCGAGACCCTGTGCGTAGAATGTTGAGGTCCCGAATCTGACACGGCGGGACCCTGGCGAAATGTGTATGATTCAGAGGCTTACCTTGGGTATCTAAAACCCAAGGGTTGTCGTTCCAAGTAAAACGACTCCAGAAGCTAGTAAGTGCCCGAGTCCGGAGTTCCTGGTCAGTCGGAGCATCAGGAAGACTATTATGGTAAGACAAGACCCACTCCTGTCCTTCACACTTGCTGCTGGCTCCATCCGAAAGGCTTGCATAGTGCTCAGCCAACCTGGACGCAATGATAGAAGCTGATCCGGGGAAGAAGGGAGGAGATCTTCCAAGCCCCGCGCAATATAATCCCGCATAGGCCACCTCACCAACGCACACTAAGTATTCCCAATCGGTTGCAACTCAGTAACTAATGCAGATACTGAGCGGGCAGCACGAAAAGTTTAACTTCTTAAGGCCAGAAAGTACTTGTCCGGCTTCTGCATGAGCCATTTTAGTGCTAGAACGTTGGCGCACTTGCGCAGTAGAAGTAGGAAGTAAAGTAAAATATATTGAGTGTTAAGAACTACCGCCTCCAACACTACGGTATGTAGACCAGAAACGGCAACTGCAACTTGACCATGTCAAGTCACACATGGTGTTCGTCTCTTCCTGTCCCATGTGACATCCTGTCACATAGCTTTCGCCTCTCACATTCCCCTCTGTCCACACGTCCCATTTTGTCGATGGCCCGTCGTGTCCCACATGTCACGTCCCACGGTAATCAACCAATCAGGTGACGCCGTTCCATGGTATAGCACTTGAACCTTGAAACCTGTCAAACACGATAGTTTTTAATATTTAGCGCATGCTTTGTTCTCTGCGTTTTGGTGGCCACGTCAAACGAAGCAAGATTCAATCCACCCGCTTGTCTCGGCGAAACGAGAAGGGCCGGTTTTTTTTTGTGCCTGCTAACCTCGGAGGCGTAGGCATGCTGTAACGGGGTTTCAGGTCGACTGGTAGTCGACAATAGGTGTGGTGCACACAAGGGATGGGATACCGTTTCAAGTGATATTAGAACACAGCATCTGTAACGGGGCACACCCTTGCGTGAACTTAATGCAAGGGTTTCGGTGCCCCGACAGACGTACACGTGGCAAGCGAGGAAGCGTAGGTAAGGTAAAAGCAGAACTGTTATATTAATATAATAGTCTTTTAACTACTGTCTCTCTGTTTGACTTAACTTAATTTTACTTATATAACTAAGTGTATGGTGACGTCTCGTCACTACTCATTGCGCGCGTCTTGCGGCGATTGGTGGATTGATATCGTCAAGATATCAACCAATGAACAGACTCTTTGGTCGACCCTTCAATATCACCACTTTGGTGATATTGTTCAAAGAATATTCAACTTCATATTCTTTATTGTCACTTTCCTTAAAGTGACAATTCCATGTAACGGGCTGCCCCGTTACAGCATCAATTGTTGAAGACTAATGCCTGTCAATCACGGATTACGAGATCTTTTGAGAGGTTTTATTCAGTACATTAGCGAGTAGGTTGATTACTTTGTTCTAAGGCGTTCTTTTAGGCTAAAAGAATAGAATAAAATTCAGTTCCCATTTTGATCAAACAAATACACGTGCCTTACTAAGCGTCATGATAGTAATAGCTAGCAACGCCTGTAAGGGTAGCTGATCTTGAGCACTCTGTGTTGTGATTCTTTTGATCGTTTGATCCCCCTGGAACAGGGACCGTAAGCTCTTTGAGCTTGTTGACTCTTTGAGTCGGGTTCGTAACACCAAAGTTACTCGTAGAGCGTTAAGTCTTCCTCTGACTAAAGAAGCTGTGTAGCTCCGCTACACTTGGTAGCACTCGTAGTCTATCTACGCCTGCATCGGTAACGACTGATCCTCTGTGAGGATGGAGCAATCAGCACCCCTCTCTGAGGCGCAAAAGGTCGCGCTTAATATGCTGACCGCGGCCGTAGGTCTAGAATGTGTGGAATTTTTAGCTGAAGAAGTTCACGATGTGCTCAATGCACGAGTCGGGACCTTCATGCAGCATGAAACGGCTCTTTTAGGGCAGGTTCAAAACCAAGTAGCGTCGGCTATGCCAACACGCTACGTGTCAATGCCACCAGAAGAGGTTAAGCCCTGTCCCCTCCGAGTGAACGTTTACCATTACTCCGGGAAGAAGGGGTAAGTCTCGACCTCTGGATCCGTGAGATTGAGATGGCCATGATCTCTGACCTTATCGCACTGGAGTACCAGCGGGTCTCGCTGGCTATCTTCAAGCTCGATGTAAGCGCTAGAGCGTGGGCTCTGACATGTGGTATATCTGTCGACTTAGGGTTTCCCACATGGGATTCGCTCAAGTTAGATCTTTTGCAATTTTTCTCGCCGCCTAACCAGGCTTATCGTGCGTGCTCACGCTTTTTGTCCACCCGTCAGTATAAGAATGAGCTAGCGAACTATGTCCAAGAGCTGAGAACTCTGATGATTTCTATACAGTCTGACCCTATCCCTGACACAGGCTTTGTGTCCGTCTTCATGGAAGGTCTTCGCAATGGCGATAACAGGACCGAGGTCTTTCGGGTCCATCCCTCTACTTTTATAGAGGCGGCGGGCATCGCTCTGAATGCTGAGCACAACTTCAAGTCAACCAGACTTGGTTAAAATGGGTACAACCCAAACTTTGCGAGGGCAGCCTCAGCAAAGACTTCGGCTTAACGAAAGCCTGAACCGATGGATTTCAGCAATGCTAACGATGAAGCTGAAGCCGAGCTTCATGTTGAAGAGCAAGGACAGGACGTGAGACGCTGTTACATGTGCGGAAGAACTAAACACTTGCGTTCCGCTTGTCCTTGTCGTAAGCAACAACCGACTCCTATGGGTCAAAACCCCAGCCACAACCATAAATCTGGTATGGCACGGGAAAACGTCGACACCCAGTAGATGCGGGGCGCCCTGATGGGGTAGAGCTGAGTTCTGTTGCTTCTCTACGAGGTAGAGTGAAA